GTTTTTTTTCTTTTGTTTCCTGTGCTTTTAGGATCTTATTCAAAACATACTTGTTCATTCTAATGACCTGAAATATTTGCCCCAATTGTTTTCTAATGGTTTCATACTTTCAGGTTTTACATATAAATCTTTATCCCTTTTGAGTTGATTTTTATATGTTATATGAGATTGAAATGGGGGGAATCTATGTTCATTTTATGCATATAAGTATCCAATTTTCACAGTATATTTATTGAAAAGACTACTTTTTCCAGTGTCTACTATTAGCTCCTTTGTTGAAGACTTGGTGTCTGTAGTGAACAATCTTTTTTTTGAGGTATTGTAGTGGAGCTGTTTCTGTTGGAATTTGGATAAAAAAGCAATACAATTTAGACTTAAAATTCTGGTGGATATTTAAATAAACAATTGTTTTTCCATAGCATAAGCATCTTTATTTCCAAATAACCTATTTTTATAAATGAGTTTTAGAAGAATAAATATTTTGATGTAGGATTGGATGACACATGAATATATGAATTTGTGAAGATTTTTTCTATATATGTAGCCATGCTGTGTTACATAACTTTATTTGTTAATAAGGAAAATTGTTTCATAGTAATAAGATTTCAACAAGGCTAAAGTACCTATTTTAAGAATATAAATACCTTTGGGAATTTCTGTAGCTAAGCTGGATTTTTGGGTCACCTGATTTTTTCTATGACCTGATTAGTTTTGTTTCTCAAGGCCACTGAATAATTTTACTCAGGATTCAAAGTGCTTTTTCTTTTAAAGATTGCAGAATATGATTTAATACCCATTTTGGTTTTGAGATTTGACAGGTTAGCTGAAGGGGCTGTGTTTTAGCACAGTTCTATTTCTGATGGACTCTAACTCTGGGATTGTCCCTCTCACACAATGCTTATACCTGGCTATTTTAGTATTTCAGAAATTAGAATCAAAACTCATCTGAAAAGCAAAGCAAAATAAGATGAATAAAAAAACTCTGTCATGTAACACCAAATGAACTTGAAGAATTTGCTAATGTCCCAATTAAGCTCAAATATTAAGTATATTCTTTAAACTAAAATCTGAACATGCTTCAGTATGCTTTAAAAGTATCTCGTTTGAACTGCTTGTACATTTTCACAATGGTACTGTAACAAAACTGGGTCCATCAAATATATTCTCTGAACGACATTGTTCTTAATACAAGGTTTTTGTCTTACCTCCCAGTTACACCTTCTTTCAACAGTAGAGGTCTCAGGATACTCCTGCTATTACAAACACATTTGCCACATTTGCCATTAATCTTGGCCTACAGTACCTCTCCTCCTTTAAAATATCTTGGTCTCTGATTTGCAAGCTTTTAAAAGACATTTTATTTAAAGTGTACATATTTCATGTACTTCCTATATACTGATACAGAAACACAGGGAATCTTTCTACCCTACCATCCCTCCTGCCCACGTTCCCACCCTTCTTTCTCCTCCCTCTCCCTCTCCCATTCCCATTCTTGTTTTTTACAAAGATCTATTTTCATTTAACTCCATACTCATAAAATTAAACCTACACTAAGTAAGGGCTTCAACGAATAGTATGAAGAAAAAAAAAAACACCACATCTCAAAGTGTCAATTTCATTTCTATAGATTACCCTTTGAGTACTCTATTAGTTACCACAGATCAGGGAGAACATATGGTATTTGTCTTTTTGGCACTGGCTTATTTCGCTAAGTATAATTGCTTCTAGTTGCATTCATTTTGTTGCAAATGAAGGATTTCATTTTTTTTTTTTTACTGCTGTGTAGTGTTCCACAGTGTATATGTACTATAATTTCTTTATCTAATCTTCACTTGATGGACATTTGGGTTGATTCCATATCTTAGCCATTGTGAAGTAAGTTGCAATGAACATAGGCATACAGATTACTCTTTCATATGCTGATTTCTTTCTGTTTGGGTAAATTCCCAGGGCTGGGATGTCTGGGTCATATGGTAGGTCTATATTCAGATTTCTGAGGTATCTCCATACTGTCTTCCACAGTGGCTGTACCAGTTTACATTCCCATCAACAGTGGATTAGGGTACCTTTTTCCCTACATCTTTATCAGCATATATATTGTTTGTTGATTTCTGCTTGAGAGCCATTCTAACTGGGGTGAGGTGAAACTTCATTGTGATTTTTGATTTGCATTTCCCTGACTGCTAGTGATCCTGATCATTTTCTCAAGTGTGTTGGCCATTTGAATTTTCTGTCTTGACAATGCCTATCCAAGTCCTTTGCCCATTTCTTAATTGGATTGTTTGTTTTATTGTTGTTGAGTTTCTTGAGCTCCTTATAGATCCTGGGTATTTACCCTTTATCAGTTGCATAGTTTATAAATATTTTCTCACATTCTGTCAGTTGCCTCTTCACTTTGCTGAGTGCTGCAAGCTTTATTAGAGAATTTAAAGTGACTTGAATGATTTCTCAATCTTTCCTCATTTTCCCATTCCTTATTTTTTTTTCTTGAGCTGTTGCATATCAAGTATGAACAACCTATACAGCCCCTCTCAATATTTGCTTCTTCATCCATAAGAAACAGTCTGATCCTTGCCAGATTTAATTTTTCACCTCAACTTTCCCATGGGTGATAATCTACCCACCATGACTCTTGAATAACAGATGCTCAGATAGCTGTATGATGTGCTATGGAACATAAATGTTATATAACACTTAAGTTGAAGACCTGGTTGGTTGTTAGAGTTGACTAAACTTAAAAATTACTCATTCCTTCCCAGGAAGACACCATACCTTCATAACTAGGTAGTGTGTTTCACAGCTATGTTCTGGAGTTTCCTCTTTGTTTTTATTTTCACCTTCTATACAGTATAAATTCCTTTGATCATTAAGACTTTAATCTTCCTAACTCTGTGACTGTCATTTTGACCTTCTCTCCCTCTCTTGCTCTCTCTCCCTCTCTCTCTGTCTCAGACTCCTCCCTCTCTCTCTCTCTCTCTCTCTCTCAGCAATTGGTTGGTATGGGAACCAGCCTTCATGATGGAATTAGTACCTATTGTATGTAGGGGAATCTGTTTTTAGTATTTTCGTTGGACAAGAGAGACAGAGAGGGACACATGGAGACACACGCATGCAGAGAGGGAAACAATGGCTCAGTGAATGTGGGCAGGCATGGTATTAAAAATTCTGAATCTTGATTTTCTAAGACATGGACTCATGAAGTACATTGTAATTTTGCAAAGGGTGAATTTTAATCCCACTTATTTGGGGTTAATGTTAAGGGGAGCAAGTAACTTTGCTAATGATAAATCCAGCTGTACGGGTCAAAGTGCAACACTATTCCAATCAATTTTTCATGTTTCATATTTTGTGGTGGTTTTCCTTAGGTTCCTGGACCATATCATTTACTCTTTTTGTGACAACCAAAAATATCTCGAGACATAGTCATACACATCCTAGTAGGCGAAATTGCCTGAGATTGAGTATCATTTCCAAGAGAAAATCTCCATTTGTGAGTGAAAGTTGAGCCATCTTTATTCATATTCCTATGTCCTACAGATGTATTGTTGTTATATATTGAGATTTTTTTCTTAATGCATGCCATTCATAAAATTATAAAATTAATTTTTTGTTTTTAATGGTATATATTAAATGTGAAAAACTAAATACTACAAAATATATGTCCTCTTAAGAAAATTTTCTGATAGCTGAGGCCTTTTACAATCTTATATGGTGAAGTTTGAATGAAATACAACTATCTTCCTATTGAATTTCAATGTGTCCAATGTGGTATTTTTTTAACGTTGTCTGAGAAAAACTATTTGGCAATTGAATATAGGATAAAATGGTGAATAGGAAAATCTTAATGAAATGAATCAAGCCAGGAAACTGTATTGTCCTTGTCTATAAAATAGGAAGAAGGATGTATTTTCAAGACTTTCTGGAAGAAAAATCACTGAGTTCCAGACAAATGCTAGTTTTCCTTCCAGTGAAATATAATCATCCCCCAGTTATGGTAGGGAGTAAGCAGTGACCTGATCCTCAGTGTCTAGGAACTGCTTTGTGAACACAGCCACTGCTCTCGGGATCAACTCTTTTGATCCTTATAAATCCTAGGCCTCCAGTTACAGATCTCTTTAATTATACTCGCACCTGTTTTTCGAGATTTTTTTAAACACTCAGTGCACTTAAAATTTGCTATTTGAAGACTCACTTTCTGTACCTAAAACATTTTATGATTACTGCTTTTAATTCTTCAGTTGGTGGAGTCACTTCTGTATTCATCTAGATTGGCACCAAACTGAACTTGTATTTCTGAATAATAATCCATGGTGATAGTTTTCAAAAAGGAAATTGCAGCTAAGTGAAGCACAGATAATTTGTCAACTTGGATACTTCTTACAACATGACTTGACTAGGATCTGGAATTAAATACCCAAGAGAGAAGATTAAAAATAGAATGAGTTTCAATTTCAGAAAGTGAATTCTTGAAGTGTCTTTCCTGTCTTTTTCATCCAATTTATCACACACATTCTGGCTCTAACCATTTCTGCAAATGAGACAGTGTTTCCTCTAGGGCTTCCACACTGAAATGGAACCAAAAGGGCTGAGTTTTTTTGGCTGAGGTGTTCTAAATACTGGTGAATTGCAATTTAGTGTGAGCTATAATTATTGGCCTAGTGATAGCGAATACTGTAACCTTCAAATGGAAATAGTACTGGAAAGTTTTATCCTTTTCATGTATCTTTTTTTGACAGGCAGAGTTAGACAGTGTGAGAGAGAGACAGAGAGAAAGGTTTTCCTTCCGTTGGTTCACCCCCAAATGGCTGCTACAGCCGGCGTGCTGCACCGATCCGAAGCCAGAAACCAGCTGCTTCCTCCTGGTCTCCCATGCGAGTGCAGGGCCCAAGCACTTGGGCCATCCTCCACTGCCTTCCAGGGCCACAACAGAGAGCTGGACTGGAAGAGGAGCAACCGGGACAAAATCCAGTGCCCCAACTGGGACTAGAACCCAGGTACTGGTGCTGTAGGTAGAGGATTAGCCAAGTGAGCCGCAGCACTGGCCTATGTGTCTTGGTATATGTTTGAATTGTTTTTAAAGGGTCCTATATTTAACAGGCTACGAAGGTCTGATTTCATCTTATTTATAGATAGGCAAATAGGACTACAAAAGGCTGGTGGGTTTTTACAGAACATTTTATTGATCCTATTTTACCAACCAAAACATACTTAAACACAGACATAATAAAATTATATGTGTACTATAGCAAAAGTGTCATTATAATTAATTAATATACGAATAGGGTTATAACACTATAACAGTGACGTAAGTAGTATTATAATAGAATTTATCACAATAGTAATATAATGGTTTTTAAAATTTTCTCAAAAATGATAAGATTTTGGGTGCTGAGAGGATTTATAAGAATTATAGTTCTATTGACTTTCTATCACTTCTGTGTGTTGTTTGAGTGGTTTTATCGCAGTGTGGATGGGTTATAGCAGTTTTGAATCCCATAACATTATTGAACTGCATAGAGCGCTTGCTCTCAGATTATCTGGTCTAGTGGCTTTCAAATCTGTGAGCCACAAATACTGTGTCTCTGTGTTCATGTAAATCTGAAATAGGTCTCTGAAATGGTATTTATTCAGATATTTTCTATTAAATTTCATTCTATTCCATTTTTTTCTCTTTTCTAGTTCATTTGGAAAAAAACACTCAGAACTCACTTATAGATATGAATGAGCATTTGAAAACACTGTTCAAAGTTAGAACTGTGTTTTATAAGTAAGGAACCTGGGGTCAAACAACACAAAGTGATTTGTCTAGGGTCAAACAACTCTTTAGCACCTAAATTGTGTGTTTCTTTATAAAAACAAATATGGAATTTCAAATTCAAATCATTTAGCATTTGGTGATTACATAATAAATCCTGGCAAATCCAAAAAGTTCTTTCCTGATGGAAATAAGGAGGCTAGTAGGCCCACTCCCATAGTGATGCATATTGGAACAATTATTTTCTATTATTGACCCTGGGATACACTAGGCTAAAAGTCTGGTTATTTGCATAGCTCTGTGGCTGCTTTGGCCCTACAGTGGCAGAGCTGAGTCGTTGTGACAGAGACAATATGTTCTGCAAATCTGAAGTATTTTCTGTCTGACCTTTTGCAGAAAAAGCTTGCTAACTCCTGAGAATTATCTGATAAGGAATGTAAAGCACTGACAATTTCTAGCACAGGGTAGATGCCCAACAAATAAGTTATTTTTCTGTACAGTGGTAATAGTGATTAAGATGACAAGGATTGCAATGATGCTGGTGATGATGATAATGAGTTATGGTGATGTTAATAATGAGAATGATGATGTTGACAATAATAACAGCAACAATAAGAAAAACAGTTCTTTGGCTACCAGCTTGGAATTCTTTTATTCTATGATAGGAATCACTCCTCATATTGTTCAGATATTTAGCAAGTATGGTTTGCCTTTCGCCTTGTTTCTGTTTTCTCCTAATATTACATCACTAATATCTGCCAGAAGCCATCACCTGTCTCGGGGTGTGGTAATGGTGGTGATTCCTGGTAGATTTCCTGGATCCCAGCAGTATCTTGGGAAAATTTTTACCTTATCCTTGGATTTTTATTTTCTGTTTTACAGATCCCAGAAGAAGAAAGAATTTCTTGTTTTGTACTAATAATAAATGAGCCAGTTAGAAGGCATCATATTAATCATATATTTTTGCTATATTTGTGGCCGAAAAAACCCTCATTCTTGCCACCCATGGACCCCCAAATGTGTCTCAAAGTAAATTAGACTCACTCAGGAACTTAGCATCTGTTTCTCCTCTTGTTATAAATTCACAAATAGGATATGTTTTTCCTTTTAAAGTGGTTTCCCTGGCAACCAAACCACCCTTATACAATCAGAGCAGTTTGTCACTTTTGAAGTTTGACTTTCTGACAAGGCCTTCTAGCTCAGGGACATGAAGAAAACAACATCCAAACATAAACATTTCGAAAACACTCAAGTGGTGAATTACAAATGCAAACTACATTAGGTGACTTCTCTGTAGATTGTGTCAGCCCCCATCCCGACCACCCTCTGCATCCAACCAGCAGAGATAACCATCCCTTGAAGTAGCTATCTTTGTAGCAGAGAACAGATGGGAGTGATTCTTAAAGTGGCTCAATTACCATAAAGATATATTCTGGGAAGCAGCGGGTAGACAGAGAGATAGTAAGGCTTGCAGCAGGCTGCCATATAATATGAACTCACCTTGTGGTTACAGAAGCTGAAATAATCATATTGGCCATGACTCAGACACAGCATGGGGAATGTAAACTTTGCTGCCTTGCTCAAAAAAGTCCACACAAAGTGAAACACTTTGGGTCTTAGCTAATCCTCAGATTGGCTTTTCATTTGTTGTTGTCTTTAAATAATAATAATTATAAAATAATTATTTGGTTAATTATTGTATGATTTTTAAGAATTTATTTATTTAAGGTCAGAGCAACAGCAATGGTGGGGAAGGGTGAGGGGAGAGAAACAAAGGGAGAGAGAAAAAGAGAGAAAGAGATATCTTCCATTCACTGGTTTACTCATCAAATGTCCACAACAATGAAACTCTTATCTGAGTCTCCACATGGATGGCAGGGACTCAAGCACTTGGGGCATCTTCTGTTGCCTTCTCAAAGAATTGGCAGGAAGCTGGAGTGGAAGAGGAGCACCTAGTTTTCAAGCCATCACTCTGATATGGGACACCACCATTTCAAGCAGTGGCTTCACCTGCTGAACTACAATGCTGGTCTCTATGAATGTATAAATTCATTATGAAATAATTATTATTAACTACTATTATCCCCAATGATTTCCCCTCCTGTTGCTGTTATATTTATCAATAACAAGAGTCAGGACCTCATTTACTTCTGGATTTCCTTCCTCTCCACAACCCAATTCTAGTTCTTAGAGTAGCTAGAAGAGAATTGGGGGCAGACAGAATGATTAGAGTAGGAAAGAAGAGTACAATAAAAAAGAAAAAAATTGTGTATTTTCTTATTTCATTTCCTACTGACTTGTTAACAAAGTGCAGAGAGAAATTTGTGGGATAGAAATGAATGAGAGCTATAGAGACCCCCAAGGGAGCTCAGAGTGGAAAAGCATCTGAAGGAGGAGTGAAAATAACAGCAGTGGGAGCCTAGTCATTTCCCCATAATGAACTTGCTTTCATGATCTCAATATTCATAGCAACTTTTCCTCCTTAGAAGACTTTCCCCAAGAACACAGCATTCTTCATCATAATCCTGTCAAGAGGGGAGATCCCTTGCATTTGCAGAATTTTGAGAAATGAAGGAAGTTGAACAAGATCATGCAGCTTGTGCCTGGAAGAGCCTGGCCTCAAACTCATACTTCCCAGCTTTCCAATCCAACCAGGTACACTCTGGTGCTCGTATTAGCGCTGAAGAGTGTAGCTTCCAGGAGGAGAAGGTGGGGCTCAGGAGAGAGGGCAGTCACCGCACTCTCTTGAGCGCTGGAAGCACAAGCATGGGGGGGTGTGAGAGTGCTGAATCAGAGGGGAGAGAAGTCAGGCCGTGAAAAGAGCGGTGTGCCAAGTGCTGAGACTGCAGGAAGAAGAATTTCTTGAAGATGAAAGGGACCAACAAAATCTATAACACAGAATGTTAGAGAAAAAAGTCAATGATTTGAGTAGGAAGAGGTCATGCATTGAATATCTTTAAAGATTGTTGACCGTGGAATATGGGAATGGCTAGAAGAAGGTCAGAAATGGTGGGTGAACTATTGAAAACATCTATGATCATCCTGTTGCTGGTGATAGCTGATAAGAACAGTCAATATTCACTGGAAGCTTTTGTGCCAGATACTGTTCCCAGGGCTTCAGTGCACTAAGTTGTCTAAGGACATTTAAGACATTTCACATATATTATGAAAAATGAATATTGTAGAAAAAGAAACCCTACCTCTATTTCAAAATTATTTTACATCAAAATCAACTTATTTTTTTTAATTTATTTATTCATGTTTATGAGAGGTAAAGAAACAGATAAAGAGAGGGAGAGCTCCCACCCTCTCCTTCCCCAAATGCCCACAAATGCTGGGGCTGGACCGAGGCTGAAGCTGAGGGCTAAGAACTCAATCTAGTTCTCCGATGTGGGTGTTCGGAACTCAATGACTTGTGCTATCAGTACTGCCTCCCAGGTTCTATATTATCAGGTAACTGGAATAAGGAGCCAGAGCTGGATTTGGTATCAGGTCCTTCTATCTGGAATGTAGTTAATCTTCACCACTAGGCAAAATGTCTTTCCCTAAATTAATATTTTACTTTTTTTTTGATAAGCAGAGTGGACAGTGAGAGAGAGAGACAAAGGGAAAGGTCTTCCTTTACCGTTGGTTCACCCTCCAATGGCCGCTGAGGCCGATGCACTGCGGCCGGCGCACCGCGCTGATCAGAAGCCAGGAGCCAGGTGCTTCTCCTGGTCTCCCATGGGGTGCAGGGCCCAAGGACTTGGGCCATCCTCCACTGCACTCCCAGGCCACAGCAGAGAGCTGGACTGGAAGAGGAGCAACCGGGACAGAGTCCGGCGCCCTGACAGGAACTAGAACCCTGTGTGCCGGCGCTGCAGGTGGAGGATTAGCCTATTGAGCCGCGGCACCGGCCCAGCCTAAATTAATATTTTAATTATATTTTCCATGAATTTTTTGAGCTACCCTCATATCATCATAAGCCTATGAGGTGGTTACTGTTATCCCTATTACACAGGTGTGACCATCGAGGCAGTGAGAGGGTAAGCAATCTGTACAGAATTAGATTGCTACTAAGTGGAAGAGCTGAGATTCAAGGCCCACTCTGTTAGCTGGGCTCATACTTCATAGTGTGGAAAAGCCAGAGGTCTCTTTAAGGGATAATGAATTGACAGAAGTACACTGATTTTATCCTGAGGAAAAAATGACAGGTATATTTTGACTGGAAATACTAGTTGTGTTAATGATTATCTATACCTCTTTCCCCCTCTCTCTCTCTAAAAAAAGCATTGTTTTAGTGAGGGATTGATTGTTATATTTTTTCCATGTCAGGTTTTAAAGAAAATATAACCATTTGTTGTAAAAATAATCTAAGTGAATTTTGAAATCCTAAAAGAAAATATACTGCATTTTTTACTGGTAACTTTCTTGAAAGAATTCAAGTAAGATATTATGGATCTTTGTAAATATCTCAGAAAAGAAAGAGGGCATTCTATGTTTATAGCAAAAACATTTTAGTAACTATGTACTGGAACAATGACTTTCTGTGTCTCAAATTCCTTTATGCCTACAGACTGCTCAATTGAATGTCATTAGAACTTCTAGAATTTATTTTCACATAGTTTGAAGCCTGACTCATCTCTTACATAGTCACATGTTGATTTGAGAAAAAATATATATACACACAAAGCTACCCTCAGTATGGGCAGCATATTGGATTCTAAGGCTTACAGATTGCCATCCTGCTCAGCGTCCCTAACCCTTTTCAGGTAACCTGATTTATTAATGCCAATCTGTACTTTCAACAGATTAAGATTAAGAAACAATTCTTAAAATAGTTCCACAAGGGACATGGCAGATAGTTTTTTACAATAAAATAGTTCTGTGATGTTCAATAACAAAGACTTTTGGAAAACTGTTTGAATTTAGTAGTAATTAGAATAGGCAGATTTGAAGGGAAGAAATTTGCTTATCATGTAGGTTACCAGTTAACAAAATCATAAACGGCTATATAATTTCCTTATATATAGAATTACGACTATGAAAGCAAGAGAAATAAAGTTGATCAGGAAAAAAAGAAATCAAAATATTGTTTTTAAAGTAAATTGCTTTGGTGTACATACAATAACAATATTTTTATGAAATTTTAAAATGATGACTGTTACTGGCATGTATTGGTTTTAAATATTTACTTAATGTTGAATTGCTAGTTACTTTGGGAAACTATGATACTGCTACAACAGCACTCATCATTTCTAAGGACTTACCATATGGTTGGCATCATGTTTGGAACATTCCATGTATAATTTTATTTAATGCTCACAAAATCCCTAAGAAACAGATAATCTTGTTTCCTAATGAAAACGAAGGAGCCGTTTGTTATAAATTTCTGGTGGTGTCTATTATTAGTGGACAAATCTGGTGAATATGTGAAGTGCTCTTTTCAGGTGAAATGGTTGTTTTCTCAGTTTCCCTTTCATAATGTACAAAATACCTTTAAAAATCTGCTTTTTTAAAAAAGCAATTTTTCCTTCCTATGTCCCACGTTATTACTTCATTACACACTGTAAAAAGAAAAGAAAAGAAGGAAAAACGTTTCCTTATAGTATCTTCTGTATTACATCTTAATCTCACTTTTGAAGTTTGAGCCATTCCTGCCCTAGAGAGCTTGCTGTCATCTAATGCAGTTTAGTCAGAAAAGTGCCAATGGAGGGTTAAATTACAGTTTGCAGCTACTGATTTACCACCAGCTGGGGTGAGTTTTGGGGAGAAAGTTTTGGGCTTTATCTTCTGTTCCCTTACACTTGTCCTATCACATATTTTTTTTTTTAAACAGTCATTTTGCCTAGAGTAGGTATACCCCAATTCGTTCAACAATATATATTGACCACCTACTAAATTTAAGCCCCAGGGATGCAGTGGTGACCCAGAGAGGGAGGTGCACAGGACAGCTCCTATACTGTAGAAATGAATGGGCAAATGATTGGTTTGAAAATCACTAAGTGTCAAAAATAAAATCAAGAGAAAAGACTAGCTCCAAGTAATTTGATTCACCTGCAAATCTTCACCCACTCAATTTTTAACAAATGCATATACATCTTTACTCCAAACAACCCTTCATCCTAAGTAGTGTTTGATATTAGAGACTATGGTAAAAATGTAAGATAAATTAATTGGCCTCTAGTTGTTGTGTTTTTCCTGATGAGATACAACTGTTGTGTTAACTATTTTGGGCAAGAGTTATATGGTTTATAAAACGTCGTGTGGATGATTGTACACAAGGGTCAAGACTGTTAAAATCTGTCTTTAGGCCTTATTTGGGAGTGAAAACATAAAGAGTAGAAAAAGAAGAAAATTACATAAATAAATGTGGTAATATTCTGATACTTATAACTACTAACAATTTTTATTATACCTCATACATCTAAGCTATCTTAAAATCAAAGAGTGAAATTAATATTTTGGTGTACCTACTACAAGCCAGGATACACTAAGGATCTGATTTGTCATCTTATTTAATTTTCATATCTGTCCTATGAAGCTTCTTATGCCCACTTTATAGAGGAAGAAATTAAAGTTTATTAACTAAAGTTAAGTAGTTTAAATATGATTACCAGTTAATAAGAGATAAATATACTATTTGAGCCTGATTCTTATTTTAGATTCCGCTGCTTCCATTAAAATTAATAAGTTAATGGTATGAAACATCACCTTACAGCTCACCTATTACCTCAGGTTTTTTTAACCTCAGACTTTTTGAAGACAATTACTTTTTATTATGGATGGGAACCATATGTAGACATTCAACAATATTTCCTTGTGCTTATATATGTTGTATTATCCATATCAAAGCATATGCAGATTTAGCACTCAGTAAGAACACAATTGTATTCTTTGGTGATATCTCATTGCCATTTATTTTGGTTAGTTTGAAAATAAACATTCATTGTTTTTTATTTTATTTTAAGATTTATTTGTTTTATTTGAAAGTCATAGTTACACAGAGAGAGAGAGGAAGAGGTAGAGAGGGAGAGAGAGAGGTCTTCCATCTGCTGGTTCACTCCCCAGTTGGCCGCTATGGCCGGAGCTGCGCCCATTCAAAGCCAGGAGCCAGGAATTTCCTCTGGGTCCACCATGTGGGTGCAGAGGCCCAAGGGCTTCTTCTACTGCTTTCCCACACCATAGCAGAGAGCTGGATCAGAAGAGGAGCAGCCAGGATTCGAACTGGTGCCATGTGAGATGCTGATACTGCAAGCTGTGGCTTTACCTGCTACGCCACAGCACTGGCCACAACACTCATTACTTTTATAGACCTGACATAGATACAGTAAGTGCACAACAGGTATGAAATATAGAACAGTCATAGTGTGTCGTCATATTTTGAGATTGAATACTGGAGTCCTTGGAAAAGTGTTCATCAGACTTTAACACTGCTGGATAGGAAACATGTGAAACACAACATCCTTGCTGACTAGTGTATTGAAACATACCCTAGACTACCATATTTCTTATCTTGTTACTCCAAATGAGCATGTTTAAGATAATACTGGAAAAAGCGGAGAGCAAATAGGAGGCAACATGAACCAGGCAGACCTGTGTTCAAATCCAGTTGCATTATGTTCTCATTGAGCGTTATTTAATCTTCCCACGTCTCATTTTCCTACTGTCTAATGGATATGATGACTGTCTTGCTGGCTTGTGAGAAACACAGAAGATGATACATTAAGTATTGAAGAGCAGCATCACATAAAGCTCATTAAATGGTATTTAAATGTGGAAGAAAACCTGTTCTTTGGTGAGTGGATTAAGCGTTTTAGTTAGCCAGGGTGAGAGACCATGGCTATCTAGAGAAGGAGGAGTAATGTAGACCAGAGATGCTTTTCCCAGCTTTCTAGATGTACCCCAGCCCCTCACATAGCCCTTTTTTTTCATGTATTCTTAAAACAGCCAAAGCTTTGACATTCTGTGTGGGTTGCTATTTTTCTATGTGCTATATCTTCAAAATGATGAAAAAAATTACAAAGTGATTAAATTACTCTTATTTCTTTATAGATCCTGACTATAGATCCTGATCTATTTATTTAATAAACATATATTTACCCTCTATCATTTAATAGGTACTACAGGGTTCAGAGGGGAAGAAAACAGAGAAACATTTCCCATCATTTTGATGCTTATGTTCCAGTTGATGAATGAGATACTAAAGAAGTTCTATATTAAACAAGTAATTTTAAACCATAAAATGCTATGTAGACGTACAAGGTGCTAAGATATTGTAAAAATAGGAGATTGTATTGAACCCAATGAGTTGGGGAAGATAATGGCTTCTGAAAGCAGGGTGTGTGTCGGAAATTGTGTCGTATTCATTGTGTGAATTAAAATATTAATCATGTAATCTCTGATTTTCTTGGAACTCAGTAGAGTGAAGAGGAGTTAACTAGGAAAAGGGTTGCAGGGGAGTATTTTAAGTCAAGGGAGTAGTATGTCAGTTATTCATTTTGTTCCATTTTTAAACTCCTCATAGCCTCCTAATCTCTCATTGACACCTAATTTTCATGTTTGTGAAAGAGGGAATGACTGTTATTGGGGATATGTGTGTCATATTTCTTACAGGAAAGATCTTCAAAGTAGTCATTTTAGTCATGTTAGCAATTTTTATGAGTACCCTCCACTCCCTCCATTTCAGTCTTAGAAGTATCCTCGTTTACATGATAAATCCTATTCTCATAAATAAATGACGATCAGGGATATAAAAACTTCATGTTGGGTCACATAGCTAAGTGCAGAGGGTAGTGGGATACCACACTAATACTGTCTGATCTAATGCCCATGTTCTCTCAACTGCATTACAAACATCAGTTGTTGGTTCTACATTTATATAGCTCTTTATTCTTCTCATCAAGTTTAGGGAACCCAAGACAAAACTGACAAACTCTGGCTTTCTGACACCTGCCTCACTGATTCTGTTAAAAATTATGTACAAATGAAATGATGGATTAATATTTATATATATAGTATTTTATAGTGTATTACATAGTATAATACTACATATATATTACATACAGTATTATATAATATATATAGTATTATATATATATAGTATTAGTAGTTATTTTCTTGATATATGCATGAATTTGCTTTTAGATTTAGTCAATTCTTTATATTGTCCAAGTCTGAGGAAGCTGCTTTAAAATGTAATTTCTTCCGAAAGTCAAAATTTAATTTTAATGACAAAATGCTGGTTATCTTTGTTCTCTTGCATGACAGGTTACTATGTGGGCCACGGAGGTTAGTGACTTGCCTGGCTGAGCAGAGTCTGAATGTAAAGAGCTTATGCCTTCTTGAAATTATTAAGGGGCCAGCACTGTGGCATAGAAGGTTAAGCCTCCACCTGAAGCACTGGCATCCCATATGGATGCCAGTTCAAGACCCAGCTGCTCCTCTTCCAATCTAGCTCCTTGCTAAGATGCCTGGGAAATCAGAAGAAGATGGCCCAAGTCCTTGGGCCCCTGTTGCTACGTGGGAGACCTAGAAGAAGCTCCTGGATCCTGGCTTCAGCCTGGCCCAGCCCCAGATCTTGGGGCCATTTGGGAATGAACCAGTGGTTGGAAGTTGTCTGTCTTTCTGTCTCTCCCTTTCTCATAGAATGACAAATACCTCAAACAGCACTCTGACCTGAGAATCAGCCCTTAAGGCATTAAGCTCCTGGCTCTTGGCTTCATACCACTCAACTCTGGCCATTGTGGTCATTTGGGGAGTGAATCAATGGATAGAAGATTTCTTTCCCTGTCTCTCCCTCTCTATAACTCTGCCTTTCAAATAAATAAATAAATCTTGGGAAAAATGTTATACTATCTGTGATTACTTTAAAATTTACTTTATATGGGTGAAATGGTTATATTTCCATTTGATTGTTGTTTATAGTCCTTGCCCGTATTCTTGCTAAACTAGGATCTTTTTTTCTTTTATTTGCTGAACTCTATTTGGTGGAGAACTAAACCCTTGACTATAATGTAAATTAAAAGTTTAATCTCAAAAAATAAAAAAATCATTGTAAAAAACCTTTAGAATAGAAATAATCAGTTAGACTCTTTTCTGTTTGAGTCATCTTAAATAACGATTTGCAACTACAATTGTCATCATGGTCAAAACTGTAATACAGATATGTGATGAAAGCTTTTGAAGACATTCTTTATGTATATAGTTAGGAAAAACACAAAATAGTAGCTATTTGTCCTTCTATTTTAAATGAAACATCAGATTATACCAAAGTCATACTGAAAATAACATTAAATTGTCATGTTTTTTCATGGAATTATGGTATCACCTCAAAAGATGCTCGCTTCACTCTATTCCCTTGAAAACAAGGAGTTATGAAGTGTATCACATGTCAGAGTGTTTTTAAAAGATTTATTTATTTGAAAGGCAGAGTTACACACAGTGAGAGAGAGAGGGAGAGAGAGAAAGAGAGAGATAGGGCTTCCACCCACTGGTTCACTCCCCAAATGGCTGCAATAGTTGGAGCAAGGCCGATCCAAAGTCAGGAGTCAGGAGCTTCTTCTGGGTCTCCCACATGTGTGCAGGGGCCCAACACTTGGGCCATCCTCCGATGCCTTCCCAGGCACATTAGCAAGGAACTGAATTGGAAGTGGGGCAGCCAGGGCTTGAACTGGTACCCATATAGGATGCTGGCACACCAGGCGGCAGCTTAACCTGCTATATACTACAGTGCCAGCACCAACATGATAGAATTTAAGTTTCTCTTAAATGACTCACTATGCGAATTAACAGTAAAACTAATATTCAAGCAGTAATTTATACTTTGTGTGTCTGTGTGGGTGCAATTTATTGAAATCTTTAGTATATACTAAGTTATCTTCTATATATAAAGATAATTAAAAATGAATCTTAGCCGGCGCCGTGGCTCAATAGGCTAATCCTCCACCTTGCGGCGCCGGCACACCGGGTTCTAGTCCCGGTTGGGGCGCCGGATTCTGTCCCGGTTGCCCCTCTTCCAGGCCAGCTCTCTGCTATGGCCAGGGAGTGCAGTGGAGGATGGCCCAGGTGCTTGGGCCCTGCACCCCATGGGAGACCAGGAAAAGCACCTGGCTCCTGGCTCCTGCCAGGATCAGCGCGGTGCGCCGGCTGCAGCGGCGGCCATTGGAGGGTGAACCAACGGCAAAGGAAGACCTTTCTCTCTCTGTCTCTCTCTCTCACTGTCCACTCTGCCTGTCAAAAAAAAAAAAAAAAAAAAAAAAATGAATCTTAATGAAGAATGGGATGGGAGAAGGAGTAAGAGATGGGATGGTTTGTGGGTGGGAGGATGGTTATGGGGGGGGACCGCTATAATCCAAAAGTTGTACTTTTGCAATTTATATTTATTAAATAAAAGTTTAAAAAATAAAAAATAAAAAAGACTCACTATGGAATGTCGAGCATCACCATTAAAAGCATGCTTTAGTCACAATTGTTTGTCACACACCTTGTAGTTCCAGTTTGGGAATTGTCAAGATCTTCTAGTCAATTCATCATCCATTTTTTCCTATTTGTCTTGTATCATGGAATATGTAGTTTGTGAACTGCTGCAGCCATAGCCTGGTCTATAGTTGGTAAACGCAGGAACTACATCTGGGTGTCCCACTTGAGTTGCAGGAGTCCAGGTACTTGGCCGATCTTCTGCTCTCCCAGTAGCACTATCTGGGAACTGAATATGAAGTGGAGCAGCCAGGACTCCAGCTGGTGCTTTAATATGGGAAGCTGGCACTGCAGGCTGTGTCTTAACCCACTGTGCCACAGTGCTAGCTTCTTTGTTTGCTTTCTTACTAAGAGAATATTTTCTATTCTCCATCTCTTTTACTCCTCTCTCTTCTCAGGCCAGATCCTCAATCAAATTTCTTGAGTAACTTTATTGCTTCTTTCTTTCTCCAACCAATCTCCTTTCCATACATTCATCAAGTATCAAGGTAGAAAGAAGACTCTGGAGGCCAAAGTTGTAGTGCAGTGGGTTAAGCTGCTGCCTGTGACACCAGCATCCTATATGTGGGACAGCTCAATTCCTGGCTTCTTCACTTCTGATCCAGCTCCCTGCTAACGTGCCTGGGAAAACAGCAGAAAATGGCCCAAGTACTTAGCCCCTGCACCCATGTGAAAGACCAAAATGAAGTTCCTGGCTCCTGGCATGGGCCTGGCACATCCCTAGCCATTGCAGCTATGCAGGAGTGAACCTGCAGATAGAAGATCTCTCTCTTTCTCTTTCTCTCTCTGACTCTGCTTTTCAAATAAATCAACAAATCTTACAAAAAAAGAAGACTGTGGCTGTCTAGTTCAGTGGTTCATACTGTGAGTGGAATGATAGTGTGCATTATGCATGCAAGGAGTTCTGTGGCCAAATAAATGTGCAAAACTGGGGGCTAAACCAAAACTGTGGGCTAAACAAGGCTTAAAGACCTCTTGTCTGTGCGACTCCTCCAATCATAGGTTATGGAATGCTCCAATTTGTAAATTTAGTTGATCACAGAATGCTTTTTCACTCATGGTCTTGCAAAGCTGGTATTCTAAGAATGGTACATTGGGGTAACAGTGATCTAGAACCTTGTTGCCCTTAAGAAATTAAGTGACTCATTCAAGACATCCCAATTATTGGAGGGTAAATCAGAGACCAGAACCTATTTTGTCTATTTCAAATAGGCAATTGGACATTCCACAGCTCTGAGTATTCTACTCTCACTGCATGTTCAAGGTAGGTGTTGATGGCAATTACTTCCATGTGGCTATTTTCTTTTTTTTTAAACTTTTATTTAATAAATATAAATTTTTAAAAGTACAACTTTTGGATTATAGCGTTTCCCCTCCCCCATAACCACCCTCCCACCCGCAAACCATCCCATCTCTTACTCCCTCTCCCATTCCATTCTTCATTAAGATTCATTTTTAATTATCTTTATATACAGAAGATCAACTTAATATATACTAAGTGAAGATTTCAACAGTTTGCATCCACACAGACACACAAAGTATAAAGTACTGTTTGAATACTAGTTTTACCATTAATTTGCATAGTATAACACATTAAGGACAGAGATCCTACATGGGGAGTAAGTCAGCCCTTGTCCTGACTGTTGAGGAACAGTTTACTATTTTATTCTTTTTAGTATTTTCTTGTTCTACTTAATACCATTGGTTGAACTCTTTGATTAACACACAATTATTCTTAGGTGTTTAAATTTAACTGAAAATTGATCCCTGTTAAGAATAAGAGTGGGAATAAGAAAGGGAGGAGATGTACAGTTCGGCACACGCTCACCTGGACTTACTCCATGCAGCTATTTTCTTTGGCATCTGTTTTGCTCTTAGAAAGGATGCATGGCCCTTGGCAATATCTTTTCTGGTGGAACCAAAAGACTTGAGATTAGGGTGATTCTGTTTTCTTTGGGACAATCAGTTCAAAGTTTAACAAATTCATTATCCTTTCCAAGCTAGAAAACAAGTTGTAGAAATATCCACAAATAAAGATATCACCATTAATCAAGAAGTTCATTGGAAAAATATTTATTGAACATCTCTACAGGCCACATAGTTTTCTAGGTTCTATGAAAGTAGTGGAGTTTAAAACCCAGGAAAAATAATCAGAAAATAAATAATCATTTTGAGAAAAATGATAACACCAGCTAAGAAGGAATTAGAGGATGTCGGCAGAGAGACAAGACCAGGGTTGCAATTTTATATAGGATGAGATGATTTTACTATTAACATGGCTTTGTGCAGAGACTTCCTTGTGAAGGAACAGTAACAAGCTTAGGAAGAACATTCCAGAGAATGAGATTAGCATAATCTAGGAATGCAAAAATGTCATTGTGGCTGGGGCTAAGGGAGCAAGGGAGAAGGTGATAGGGATTAATATTATGTGGGTCTATAGGCCATTATAAAGATGGGCTTATACTTTGAGTGGCAAGGGAAGCCTTCAAAGGCTTTTGAACAGACAGGTGACATGGTCCGATTTTTGTTCGAAAAGGTTTAATGTTGCCGCAGTATAGAAAGTAAAATTGTAGGGAGATGTGACATATTGGGTTTCCAGGAAGCAGACTCCAAAATGGAGATTAGGATTTGGGGAGTTTATCAGGGAGTTAGGGAGTGCTTTCAGGAGCAACACCTGTCGGGGATGGGAAGAAGGCAGGATTAGACACAAGAAGCACTGGGCTGTAATATTGTCTTAACACCAAACTCAGTGCACAGGGTGCTCTGAAACTTGGGTTGCCCTTTAGAGTTGTCCCAAATCAGAGTGAGGGTTTCAGGCCTTTATACCGATGCATTTACTGATTGGCTATTGGATGCCTCTAAGAAGGGGCAATGATTTTCAACAAAGAACCCTAGAGGAATTCCTAGAGATGACTGCCTACTAGGCTGTTACAGTACTCCTAGGAGCATGGAAATCCTTTAGCTAGAAGCGGGATACACAAGGTTCATTAGAGCATCTATTACAAGAGGCAAAATGGCAGCAGGGAGACCACTTAAGAGGCATTGATTCAGATGGTAAGTTCTGTTACCAGGATGTTAGAAGTAGAAGGAGGGAGATATATTCATTTTCTGGATTATTTTGAAGGAAGGGCCAATAGAGGATATCATGACTTTGATAGGAGATTATGGGAAACCAAGAAAAATCAGTATAAATCTATCACTTTTGCCCCAGCCAACTAGAAATGGGTAGATTCTATATGCTGAGGTGAGGAAAATTTGGGGGTGGTAGGTAGAGATGGTTCTATAGAAATGCAAGTAACTTAGTGGAGATGTACTGATTTTCAGATGTGTATGAGATATCCAAGTAAAGATGTTAGTTGTATGAGTGTATTATAAAAGGACAACACATTAAAGATAAGGGATATGGGGGCTGGCACTATGTCATAGCAGGTTAATGCCCTGGCAAAAGTGCAGGCATCCCATATGGACGCCGGTTCAAGACCTGGCTGCTCCATTTCTGATCCAGCTCTCTGCTGTGGCCTGGGAAATCAGTAGAAGTTGGCCGAAGTCCTTGGGCCCCTACACCCATGTGGGAGACCTAGAAGAAGCTCCTGGCTCCTGGCTTCGGATCGGCACAGCTCTGACCATTGCAGCCAATTAGGGAGTGAACCATCCTATGGAAGACCTCGCCCTCTCTCTCTGCCTCTCCTCTCTCTGTGTAACTCTGACTTTCAAATAAGTAAATAAAAATTTAAAAAATATATATAAGTGATTTATAAATTTTAGTCTGCTCGACTCATAGAATGGCAGATGTCCTAAGAAAAAGAGGACCTATATGAAAGATCTCTGTGAGTGAGATTCCAGTAGAAAGAAATGGTCATCAAAGAAGGAGGTACCTTTCTCTGAAGGGAGGAGAGAACTTCCACTTTGACTATGACCTTGTCTAAATAAGATCGATATCCACGAACTCAAAAGGCTTCCATAGCCTTGGCAACTCATGACAAAAGCCTAGGGAGATTACTGAGGCCATAAACAAGAGTGTTAATTTGTTAAGTCAACAACAGGAGTCCTTGTGCTCTCATGTAGGATCTCTGTCCTTAATGTGTTGTCCAATGTGAATTAATGCTATAACTAGTACTCAAGCAGTATTTTATACTTTATGTTCTGTGTGGGTGCAAGCTGTTGAAATCTTTACTTAATATATACTAAATTGATCTTCTGTATATAAAGAGAATCGAAAATGAATCTTGATGTGAATGGAATGGGAGAGGGAGCGGGAGCTTGGAGGGTTGCAGGTGGGAGGGAACTTATGGGGGGAAAAAGCCATTGTAATCCATAAACTGTACTTTGGAAATTTATATTTATTAAATAAAAGTTAAAAAAATATATAAGTAGTGATAACAGAAATGGAAGGAATCAGACATGGTCTATCCAAGTGTCAATCTGTGTCAGCCCAGACTTAGGCTATGATAGGAACTCATATATTCATTATGCTTTACACCCAATTCTTAGTCTGTGAATTGAGATAGTGCCAAGATTCCTGGAATCATCAATAACTAAGGGGATGAGGATTCATAATACTGATGATTCTGACTCAAGAGAAAAAAAAACATGACCCAGGGCTGACATAGAATGAATATCCCAATGTTGTTAACCAGAAACAGGATCAGAATGCAGAGTGAAGGGTGAAATCTTACTAGGAATAGCTTGAGATCATTTCCCTATACATCCTCCATTCAACACTTTGCTTTTTACTCCTGTAACTTCACTCATTGCTGGTTTCCCTTGTGAAGTTAGACCCTTTATGAGACTCTAAGCCATGTTGACAATAGGGCCTACATCTTCTTTATCTTCATGTCCCCCAGAGTGTACATCAGTGCCTTGTGCTCAGCAGATGTTTATTAAGAAAAATAAATGAGACTTCTAGTGCCTCAGTTCTCAAGCATGAGGCATGAGAATAGACAAATGGATGTCTGAATTGCCTTGGCAGCTGAATCTGTTTAATCACTTACATGTTTCTTGGCAAAACTTTATGTGGACTAATCTGTTTTTTCTCAAATTTGTTTATCATGTCAGAAAGAAAGACTACTTGTTCTATATTATTTTAAAAACATTATTTTATATTTTTTTGGCTCAAAGATAATGCAGTGATATCTGTTTAGTAAGGAGGGTGAAGGAAACCTGCTTCAGGCATCAATAATGCCAGCTTTTAAAGATAATTTTGGATTATTTTCATTTATTGCAAACTTTAACACACTTGACTTTGTTGTGAAAAACTGTTTTCCAACAGATAAATTTGTGTTCCTTTGTGGAAAAGACATCATTAAAAATCTGTGTGTATAAAATGCTTAAGGGTCCTGAGAAGACCCTAAGTAATTCTTCTTGTCTATAGGAAATGTAGTTACAGTTGGGGATTAGATTCTTTCCTGGTGTTCACTCTATATAACTTATGTGCTCTTTTGCCACCCAAGACTAGAATCTAGCTTTTTTTTTGGACCAGGTGCCGTTGATTTTTCTAATTAAATGAAAATATAGTTTCTATAGAAATTACCCTAAATACATGTGCTTTTCCAAGCTATATGTAGTTACCAACCAGATGGCTGGAGCATGCTATTATAATACACATCCATTTTGTGTTTATATAATACAAAATAATTTTATAAAAATTATGACTTCTGTCTTTATAAGAAATAGTCTATTATAACAAAATTATTTGTTAATAAAATGAGGGAAAGTAAAGAATTAGAAATAAGTTGCCACTAAGACATAGAGAAAAATAGCAAAATAGCAAAGTAATGGATGGATTTAATTGGTTCCTATGTTGTAAAGTGATTGAAAAGAATCTGAGTAAGGCAAAAAAGTAGAAGCTGAAGAATTTCCTCTTGTAAATTTCATTGTGCCAACTTGCCTAAATATTGCTTTATATGTGGAGGAAGAACTGGGAGAAAAAAATCAGAAGGAAAAGGACAGAATGAGGTATAGGAGACCTTCATAGTTGTTGAAATTTACCTAGAATAAATTGACTGGACCATAGACAATGGGCTGCATTGTCACTTCCTCTTGGGGAGCCTCAGTAGAACTTGGAGCTAAGAGTTCTTTAAGATTTATTGATGCTACCTTTTGATGTTTTCATTCACACATCACCATTCTACCTTCACTGAAAAAAACTTGAGCACCTTCATTCTAGATCTTTGTTGATATTTATTTAATTTGCTTTTTCAATCTTATTTCTGTTTATTATCATTGATCAAAATGAAAATAGTACCATCAAGTAACATATATTATGTATTTGCCTGGCACAGAACTATGGTTTTTGCTTGCTGAATTTAATTATGACCATCATAAAAACCCTGGGAGATAATTTCTGTTCTTACTCCTATTTCACAGGTGAGAGGACTGAGTCTTTGAGGGTTCAGTAACTTGTCTGGAGTGCCACAGTCAGTGAATGATCTGCCTCCAGGGTCTCATGCTTTCAGATTACACCTGCTACTTACTGTTCTTGCTGTTCTGATAGGTGCCTTTACTCAAAGTTTTCTTTTTACAAATAAAATAAGTGCTCTTTCATCCCACATTCATAGATCTCCAGGCCCCTTTCCTTCTGGGTAGTTCAGATGCCACCTTTTTAAATTACTCCAGGATAGACAGACATAATGTCACTTCTTCTGAAATTCCTATGAGTCTTTGCTGATCAAAGTGACACAGACCAGCAGCTGTGCAGACCCTGGGAGCTTGTTGGAAATACAGTCTCTTAGTCCCACCCGAGATCTCCTAAATCAGAAACAGCATCTAAAAAGTATTTATGTGTTTTAAAGGCAGAGAGAGAGAGAGAGATCACTGAGAGATTGCCCATCTGCTGGGTCATTCCCCTGATACCAGCAACAAGCAGGGATGGGCCATTCTGAAACCAGGTTGCTTCCTCCCATGCTGTGTATTAGCAAGAAACTGGAATCCTAAACACAGTCAGGACTTGAATGAGGCACAGATATGGGATTTTGGCATCTCTTGAAGCACCTTACCCACTGCACCAAACACTTGTCCAGAATCTGCATTTTAGTAAAATCCATAGGTGGTTTGTATATGCAGGAAAGTTTGAAAAGATCTGTGGTATGAGACTTTGTTTTTTTGACTTTATATCTCTGTTATTTTTATACCTATTTTATATTCCCAAATGGACTGTAAGGTTTTTGAGTAGCAAAGTATCATATTCTCTTTTTGATATTGGTAAATGTACCTGACATGGAAGATTACACATTGTTTAGTGATAAAATGCAGCACTTGTATCAGATATTGAGACTATTTCTCAGTCAAAATGTTCTATATTATTTAGAAATATTTTCCCACTGTGGTAATAGAATCACTTTTAACAATTATTTTACTAGTAATGTTTCCAAAAGTTCAGGCTTTGGATGTTAAAATGTTATGAGGCATAATCTTGATTCTTAAAGAAAAAAATCATTATTTCTTCCCATTACCTTTGGCCTGTACCTAGCCCTTTCGATACAGCATCTTTCATCACTAAAGCTCATCTATAGATATTATAGATTTGGAGAAAAATAAGTACTGATAGAAATAAAAAAACTGAAATTTTCAATCAAGTTTACGTGTGAAATTTTGAGATTTGTATGCAGTCAAGATACTCATTGCCTTCCAGGAACCTTGGAATGGAATTTTGTTTTGACAACTATTTGATTCAAAGCTTTATTTTAGAGTAAATTCTATTAATAGCAAAACTTTAGTCACTACATATGCTCCTGCATTGCTGCTTGCAATTTATACACCAAGAACTGATCATTAAAGTTATTGATTTTTAAAAAATGATCACTGTTTTCTAGTTCTTTATTTGGACAGTGTTTGCATATATTTGTATCACTAAATGTTCTCTGAATGTGACCAACTGATGACTGAGATTGGCAGATGCTAAGGCCCTTCAATCAGCTTCTCCTTGCTGCACAATCTGGCTTCTCTCTTCCTTCCACAGAATATATAATTGGAATGCATGCATGGAAAGAAAAGAGGGCAAACCCATATAGGTGGCAATCTTTGATTCCATTTCAGCAGTCAGTATGACCTATCATGAAGTTGCAAATCTAAAAACTGTCGAAACATAAATCTATTCTCTGGAACTGACGCAGTTTTTCAATTCAGAAAGGATTCTGTCTTACCTCTTTTTAGAATTCCTTTATCCACACCCCCCCCCCCCCGCCTGTGTGTGTGTGTGTGCGCGCGTGTGTGTTGTTTTAGTAAGAAGCTTCCTTCCCACCTCAGTCATTGGTTTGCTCACTCCCTTATGTGATGAATCAATGCTTCCAGAACAGGGGCTTCTGAGTGACTGCGGGAACAATTACTTCCAAATGAACTCGTGCATCTTAGCAGGGAGCGTTCAGACCACACCCCAGGTAAAAGGAAGTCTTTGCTTAATGCTTTCAGTGACTTATAAAAGCAGTAAACTGTGCTCATGGTGTTTGCTGAAAGAGGGCTAGAGGGAGAGCTAGCACAGATAAATTTGTCTGTGTTTCGAAATGAAGTGTTATCTGCAGTTAGGGAAAAGAGCGAGCAGATAAAGGCAAAACTGCTCATTGGGTAAAGAAAATGCTCAGGACAGCCCTCGGCATAGTGTTAACGCTAACATATCTTGTAATGCCTCTCTTCAACAGGAGGTTACTGGCCATCTGTGAGTGTAGGTGTCAACATTGGAAGGAAGGGAACTTTTAGGGAAGTGTAAGACAGGAAGGTATGAGAGCCTGAAACTGAGCAAAGAAGCAGATAGCATGCATGGCATGGGTGACAACAGTTTCTCAAATTATTAGGCTGTCTGTTCAGAAGGTGACAATCTTAGAGATTTTGAGTGTTTCAAAGCATATTTTAGGGAAATGTTTTAATCCTTTCAGCTCTTATTACTGTTATTAAAATAGTTTCCCCATGATAGGACCCAAGATGTTTAAACGACATTGGCATCGAACACTGAAAGTGTTAATTGGCAATTAACAAGTGCAATGCTATTAACATGCATCTGTTCCTGCTTTGTGTGGAAGATGATTTTTCATCACCATAGCAATTCATTTTTGGATTCTATTGGAACTTGGCCACACTATGCAGCAAACAGAAAATATCTTTTTTCTTTCTTTCCTAAACAAGGGATTTGACACTCTCCTCACTAACGTGGTTCTCATCTCATCTCATCTCATCTCATCTCATCTCATCTCATAATATGAGGAGTCTTCAGAAAATTTACGGAAAATACATACCATAAAAATTATGCATGGATTTCAAAAACCTTTTGCACAAAATAAGCTTATCTTTTAATCCAATTTTCCATGGATTTTTTGAAGTACCCTTTTATAACAAGTGTATTTTCAAATCCTTTTCCTTTGAAGTTCTGAGGAAATGAATATTAGGTCCCTGGTAAGGTAAGAGGGTGTTAGGTAAAGGCAGTAAAAAGAACCCTATTCTAACATTGTACTATTAGCTTAAAAGTGAATTACCCAATAATTGTCATTTTGTGATTATTCTTCCAGGGATATATGTGTAGATAGGAAATTATCCCTAACCTCATTTCTCTTCAAGGGAAACCTGGGGAGATGAATAAGTCTTTAGTCCTATTAGCTTTCTTGTGTTTTGTTTTCTGTAATGGTATCATATACTGGTTCACCTAAAGAAATTTTGTATTTTATGTGTGAAAGTAGCGTTTCTATAGGGAATATAACAACAGCTGAAGGAAATAATTTTACTTCAGTTGCTTTTATTTGCAGCATGTGGTTGTGTTTGGAAACTCTTATCAGAGTATTGTTACAAAAGCATACCTGTCTTTGAAGTATCAATTCTTATTCATACTTTATTTCTTTATTTATTAAAATTATAGCTAAGAATCTTTAAAAAGTCTGTAGGTTGTGAGGCATCAAGTGTGGAACTGTATTTTAGAGACTTGAAATGATTCAATTATATGAATTGGGCATTTGGAGAAGTAAATTTTCATCATTGCATGTTTTAGAATATAAAGCTACTTAGTGTTTATAATGATTTCATATACTTCAGAACCAGGAGGTGCTTATTCTAAAGAAGTTTTTGCGATGCTATTTAAATTTCATATGGGAAGAACTTAAGATAGGCCTATTTTCAAAATGTTCAAATAAAAGGGCAGGCCTCCCCGTAGATCCTGGGAACAAGGTAAAAATGTCACCACTTCTTCTTCAACTTGCAAAGGATTATCTTTATTTCCACACTCAAAAAGCAGTTCTAGGATAGATTATTTGAACTACCATCAGTGATTTACTTACCAAAACCACTTTGCGTTTCATCATGGTATCCATGAATCTCATCATATAAAGAAATCTTCCTAGAAAACTATACATCCAGAGAGTCTCTTGTGTTATATGCAAGCCAGATTGCCCTCTAAATCTTACAAAGAAATCTAATGTTCCTTTCTATAAAGGAAAACAGTGATTTATTATTTTCTGATGATAAGCCACAACCTGGGAATTGTGACTTGACTATAATAAGTAGTAATGATAAAATACTTCTTATAATTAGTCTTTAAAAATATTTATTTGAGAATGGAGAGAGAGAGGGAGAGAGAGAGAGAATGTCATACACTGCTTTACTCCCCAAATATTTTCAACAGCTAAGGCTGGGCTGGATTGAAGCCAGGAGCCGGGAAATTCAATCCAGGACTCCCAAGCAGGTGGCAGGAACCCTAGTACTTGAGTCATAGGTGTTACCTCCCAGGGTCTGCAGTAGCATGAAGCTGGGATCAGGAGCTAGCCTTAGGAGTCAAACCCAGGCACCCTGATGTGGATCCATGAGTCATAACTGGGATCTTAACCACTAGGCCAAACTCACCTATCGCAAATATCTTTAAAAGCAGAAAAGAATATTGAAGAATGAAGATTGGTCCAAAAGAGTTTGTCTGCAAGCTTAGAGAATATGCATTGTTGCTACAAGGTATGGGCATTTAGTCACCAGAAAGTTAATCCTATAATAAATGGTCCAAATTTAATTTATTAACGCCCTTCTAGAACTTGAGTGAATCAGCTGCCAATATATTTTATATAATTATTTTTGTTTGATTTCATCCTCACAAAGAAAATCTCTAATTAATAATTTGATCTTCCATGAACCTTGTTCCAGGAACTTTTTGGACTCCAGCTTCACAAGATTATATGCCCATAATTAATCTTTCTCCCCAACTCAGTCTTGCCACAACCCCAAAAATGATCCTGTCAGTACTCTTGCCTTACAGACCCTGACCTTTGAAAACTCAGTGCCCTTCCTCCCAGATACTCAGTTTTCAGGCCCAAACTCTAGATTTCTTTTTCTTTTTCTTTCTTTCTTTTTTTTTTTTTTTTTGACAGACAAAGTTAGACAGTGAGAGAGAGACAGAGAGAAAGGTCTTCCTTCTGCTGGTTCACCCCCGAAATGGCCACTATAGCCGGCGTGCTGCACTGATCCAAACCAAGGAGCCAGGTGCTTCTTCCCGGTCTCCCATGGGGTGCAGGGCCCAAGCACTTGGGCCATCCTCCACTGCACTCCCGGGCCACAGGAGAGTGCTGGACTGGAAGAGGAGCAAACGGGACAGAATTCAGCACCTCAACCGGGACTAGAACCTGGTGTGTTGGGTCCACAGACAGAGGATTAGCCAAGTGAGCTGCAGTGCTGGCCTGCAAAATCTAGATTTTATAATCACCTAGAATCACCATACTTCCAACCATTAAGCTCTCATAGACCAAATTTGATGTCAAGGCATTTTCTGTCATCACTGTAGCAAGTCTGCTTTCTGTTTCACAGAGACCTTTAGTCCATGGGCTTTGAGGATGCTTCTTCTTTATTCATATCGAACTGCATGTCTTATCATTTGTTCTATTCTTATAAGTTACCCAAATCATCTTACACACACTACATCTTTCTGTCACCTCCAATCACCTCCTCCAAACATCAGCTTCATAAATACTGTGATTTACTTCCTCTGTTCCTATGATAGGCATTTCAGCATCTCTCAAGAGACTACCAGAGAGCCGAATTGCCTCAACGCAAACTCATGCAGATGTATTGGATAAGCCCTTAGTATGGTATTCTGACTCTTTTGTTTCTTTTTAAACCTCTTTTCTAGTGCTGTCAATGATGATCCACAATTTCCTATCCTCCTTAAGCTTCTGGAGTCACCTTTAACAGTTCTTCAGCTGCTGGGTCACTTAATGTGAGTCTTTAGGGTTCCAGCTTGCACTTCTTTCTTTATTTGTGTTTGCTTCCTAAGTGATCTCACCTGGTATTATGGATTTAAATATCATCTATAGTTAACAACTCTAATGATTTTATTTCCAGAACAAACTTTTCTCTAACTTTGACTTTCATACTCATATTTCATTTGAATGCATATTGGGAATATCATATTTGATCTTCATTCTCAAACTAGCTTCAACTGTTATTCTCTTCATTTCAGTGAATAATTTGTCATTTCTTACAGTTATTCAGACCAAAACTTTTATACTCACCTTGATTTCCGTCAATTTTATCCTACTCTACCTCCAATTTGTCAGCAAATTCTTAGCTTTTCCTTTAATATATTGCCTGATTCTTCAAATTATTTTTTTATTTAGTAAATATACATTTCCAAAGTAGAGTTTATGGATTATCTTGGTTTTCCCCCCCCATAACTTCCCTCCCACTCGCACCCCTCACATCTCCCGCTCCCTCTCCCATTCCATTCACATCAAGATTCATTTTCAATTATCTTTATATACAGAAGATCGATTCAGTATATATTAAGTAAAGATTTCATCAGTTTGCACCCACACAGAAACACAAAGTGTAAAAATACTGTTTCAGTACCAGTTATAGCACTACTTCACATTGGACAACACATTAAGGACAGAGATCCCACATGAGAAGTAAGTACACAGTGACTCCTATTGTTGACTTAACAATTTGACACTCTTGTTTATGGCGTCAGAAATCTCCCTAGGCTCTAGTCACGAGTTGCCAAGGCTATGGAAGCCTTTTGGGTTCGCCGACTTTGATCTTATTCCGACAGGGTCATAGTCAAAGTGGAAGCTCTCTCCTCCCTTCAGAGAATGGTACCTCCTTCTTTGATGGCCCCATTCTTTCCACTGGGATCTCACTCACAGAGATCTTTCATTTAGGTCTTCTTTTTTTTTTTTTCCCAGAGTGTCTTGGCTTTCCATGCCTAAAATACTCTCATGGGCTCTTCAGCCAGATCCAAATGCCTTAAGGGCTGATTCTGAGGCCAGAGTGTTGTTTAGGACAACTGCCATTCTGTGAGTCTGCTGTGTATCCAGCTTCCCATGTTGGATAGTTCTCTCCCTTTTTTATTCTATCAGTTAGTATTAGCAGACACTAGTCTTGTTTGTGTGATCCCTTTGACTCTCAGACCTATCAGTGTGATCAGTTGTGAACTGAAGTTGATCACTTGGACTAGTGAGATGGCATTGGTACCTGCAACCTTGATGGGATTGTATTGGAATCCCCTGGCACATTTCTAACTCCACCATTTGGGGCAAGTCCAATTGAGCATGTCCCAAATTGTACATCTCATCCCTCTCTTATTCCCACTCTTATATTTAACAGGGATCACTTTTCAGTTAAAATTTAAACACCTAAGAATAATTGTGTGTTAATTACAGAGTTCAACCAATAGTACTAGAACAAAAAAAAAATACTAAAATGGATAAAGTATTACATTGTACATCAACAGTTAGGACAAAAGCTCATCAGGTCACTGTTTTTCATAGCGTCCATTTCACTTCAACAGGTTTCCCCTTTGGTGCACAGTTAGTTGTCACCGATCAGGGAGAACATATGACATTTGTCCCTTTGGTACTGGCTTAATTCACTCAGCATAATGTTTTCCAGATTCCTCCATCTTGTTGTAAATGACCGGGTTTCATTGTTTTTGACTGCTGTATAGTATTCTATAGAGTACATGTCCCATAATTCTTTATCCAATCTACTGTTGATGGGCATTTGGGTTGACTCCAGGTCTTAGCTATTGTGTATTGAGCTGCAATAAACATTAATGTGCAGACAGCTTTTTTGTGTGCCAATTTAATTTCCACTGCTTTCCCAGGCCATTACCAGAGCATTAGATTGGAAGTGGAGCACCTAGGACACAAATAAGTGCCCGTGTGGGATGCAGATGCTACAGGCAGAGGCTTAACCTATGCCACAGCACCCCTCTTCACACTTCTTGATACTATCACTACAGCAATGCAATCCAAATTCAATCCACCATTTTCTCTGCCATGGATTACTATAAGAGCCTTATAGCAAGTCTTTTTTTTTTTTTTTGACAGACAGAGTGGACAGTGAGAGAGACAGAGAGAAAGGTCTTCCTTTGCCGTTGGTTCACCCTCCAATGGCCGCTGCGGCCGGCACACCACGCTGATCCAAAGGCAAGAGCCAGGTACTTATCCTGGTCTCCCATGCGGGTGCAGGGCCCAAGCACTTGGGCCATCCTCCACTGCACTCCCTGGCCACAGCAGAGAGCTGGCCTGGAATAGGGGCAACTGGGACAGAATCCGGCGCCCCGACCAGGACTAGAACCCGGTGTGCCGGTGCCGCAAGGCGGAGGATTAGCCTAGTGAGCCGCAGTGCAGGCTTATAGCAACTCTTTATAGTACTTATGGAAATGCTATGTATTTTTTACATTTATTTATTTACTGCCCATATCCTTCCACTACAATAAGGGTAAAGATTTTTGTTCATTATTTTATCACTATCCCCTGAAATTATACCTAGTATTTTAGTAGGTGTTTAATAAGACTTTGCTGAGTAAACAAAAGTAAGTAGAAGGCAAAATGTTCAAATGAAGGTTAGTTTTACTAAGAGTTGCATATTGGTAGATCTAGACTCGGTATATTAATAACAGTAGAAGCGTAGAGAGTACACTTCTCCATGAGTAGAGATGGAGGTGAGATGTTATATGAGTAGATGTGGTATTTGGAATCTCCTCTAATTGCTTAAATGATCTCACTGAAATGGGAAAGTCATCAGGCCAGTATGAGAATATGGAAAACATTAAGGAATGCTTCTTCTCTCCTTGAAGAATGGGAGACGTTGTGAAAGCATTTTCTATGTTTGTGAAAAAGTGAGTAGGCTATAAAAGTGTGGTATGCTTGTGGGGTAGCATTGAAGTAGCTTCTTGGGACTTAAAATTTTGGTTGTAAAATGGGGCCAGAAAACATGGTTGTGTGATGTTCCCCAGCCAGGTTTACTGCTGTCATGTAGCAGTAGATAATAGGGATATAGATTTGTGAGAACTGTGTTTTATACAAATAGGCCAATGATGCAAGAGAGGGCAAAGCCTTTGAGGAGCATCCATGGGAATGACTGTGGTCAACTTTTTTTTTAATTAGTTAAGAAGTGAAGTGTGGAAAGCATAACTTTGGAAGAATCAATAGTTTTAATCCTGGTTGGATTCAACAAATGTTGGAGTTGGAATATTAGAGGATGTGGTATGGAGAGACAGGAAGTGGTGGTCAGAAAATGAAAAATCTGAAATTATGGAGGGTTTGTAGTTGGTGGTCCATGCTAGGGGTGTGAGAGTCAATAATGAATATATTAAGGAAAGAGTATTAGAAAAATTACCTATTAAATGGTATTATTTAATAAAATAACAAGGTGCCAGTGGCATTGAGCCAGTAACTAAATCTTCAAGAAGGGTTTGATTTGAGTATGGGCCGATGACTACAACTGAGAGAGGTATGAATTGTATAGACTATAATGAAGCGAGATCTAACACTCAAAGTTTTTGGGTAAGAAAGAATAATAATCTGTAAGTGCTAAAATAAGCAAGAAGGACACTTCCCCTTCTAGGCCGTGTGGTACAAAAGTGGGAGAGAAAAGAGCTTGCACTAAGAAAGATTTCTCAGTAAGATTTCTCACAAATTTTTCCAGTAAGAACCATGTCTTAGAACTGGAGGCAAAGAGAATATTTACAGACGTTAAGGATATGAAGGATTTTTATAATGGCTGGCTGAATTCCAGAAAGTGTACATGCACAGTTTTAAGAGTTGGAGTAGGGAAAAGGATGGGACCAAAACTAGGGATCCTATAGCAAGCCAGGATTGAGGGATGACTCAAAGGCCTGGGTTTCTCACAGGCACTTACATGGATCAGTTAAAGGACATGCCTGTAAATTCATAGAGTCTGAGAGGCCCAAGGCATGCACAGGTGGCACAGATTAAAGGGAGAGGGTAGTGGGGATTTTGTCAGGGCATGTATTTCTTCTGACAGTGATGTTGAGGTGGCAGAGGGGAAATGTTGATCTAACTAGATGGGTCGTGGTTTTATTATGAAAACTGAATTTACCAAAAGTGATTCCCATCACTTACTACTTTGTGCATGTTTGCCTCTACACCTCATTCAGCGTTTTGTGGACATCTTTGTGCATATTCTCTGCTCTCCAAGGAAATCATGTTCTTTCTCTGATACTCTTAATGTCTTTTGCTGGTCTCTTCCTTAATCTAACTCCCCTTTCCTATATACTATTTTTCTCTTTAGTCTATGGATAGGTTCAAATATACTCCATTACAAGACCAACAAAGGAACTTCATTGACTCTAGCTCTTCCCAACTTCTATCTTCATTTCTCACCCAAACTTCTTGGAAAATAGGCAAAAGAACCATATTCTCTATTTCTTCTCCCATTAAGTTATCAACCCAGTGCTTTTAGCTCTTTGTTCTGTCTCTAGTCTTGCAACTTTTAAAAGCAAATATATCTTGCTAAAATTCCAGTATGACTATTTCATTGCTCAATCAATAATGCTTTAATGGTTCTTTGTTGTCATCAGGACAAAGTCCAAGTTTCATCCACATCCTACAGCTGCTATTTCCTTTACTTTCATATGTCAGATTTTTTTTCAACGTGGTATACTCTCATCCTCTTCTTCTTCTAAGCATAAATATCAGCTGCCTTCATGTATGGAGTATCCAAGTTAGGTAGGTACCCTCATCACTATTCCTTTAGCATTTATTCTTGATATGTCCTTCCTCTACTTGTGAGAAGTCTACTGTTTCCTATTCACCACTGTAGTCCTAGCCCATAGTTTCTGGAATTATTTTTGAATGAGTTGGGAATAAATGAGAAGCTATACCTTTGACAGCAGGTACTGGTATTCTGATTGGCATACTTTCAATTTTAAATCCATATTTTAGCATTGCTGTTAATGGTGAATGTCAGAATTTCCTTGTATGCTTGTTGTACATGAGTTAATAAATTGAACCTGCTAACCTAGGGTCAGATTGATAAAAGTCAATTGTGAAGCAGACCAGATGCTTGGTTTTTGATGTCCCCACCATGTTAGCAATGCCCTGTGTGATTCCAGCTGATCAGCTAGCTCTCTAACCTATTGTTTTATTACCCTCCCCATAATAAATTTGTCCTGTGGATGTACTGCTTTCTTTGGCAAATGGTATCATAAAAATGATAACTGTTTTTATAGCTGTTTTCTTTGGCAGTCATAGATATGATTATAGGACAATAGGCCATTTATCAAAAGAAATGAGATTAAGTATCATTGTATATTGAGAATAAAGTCAAGATAAACCTCTGACAAGGCTGAAAGTCTAATTTATTACATATCTCATAGGTCTCTTCTGGTGACTCTGAAGCCAAACCTCTGATCTTCACATTTGTCCCCACTGTCAGAAGACTGCCAACCCACACTCAGTTGGCTGACACCTCTAAATACCTTGTTAAAATTCCAGAGGAACCAAGTGATAAGAGTCCAGAAACTGTAAATAGGGTAGGATTTTTAATTCTTTTTTTTTATTTCAAACATTTGAATTAAATTGTCCATAATAATGATTCAGAAATTTGTATCATTGTTTATTTCCTGTGCTTAAAGTGAGATGATTGTGAAATCTAAGGTTAGTGTGACTAAAAATATAATTAAGCTATAGGAACCTAAGTGTTGTCAAATCCCAACTTTTTTCTAGTGTGTTACTCTTAATTGTTTTGGGTTGATGTCCTATTGTTTGCAATTTACATGGCAAATTCTGCCTCCTGGAACTGTTACCCAAATACATCTTAAGGTAATAAAAACAAAATTAAAATGTTTAAATTTAAGAAAATGCAAGAAAACAATGAGCAGTTGTTATTATTTAACATGTCAAAATCTAGCAACATTTAAAAATATAATATCCAATGTTGAAACAGTTGTGGGAATATTGGTATGCTCACACCTTATTACTAGTTTTGTAAATTTATACAAATTTGTGGAAAAACCTTATGCACTGTTATAAAGCTACTCATAACTCTTCAATGATTTAACTTTGAAATATGTCCCAAGAACACAGAACAAAAGAAAAAAATATTATGTATGGAAATGATTAGGAAAAAATAAAAATAGTATAATAACTAGCTACTAGGTAAAAATTAGAAATATGGCAGTATATCACTTTGACAATGTTACAAATACAGTGAGGATGTGATTCCATGAAAAATAATAATGTTGCACTATTAGGAAATAAAATAGGCTACAAAGTTTTATTCATACCCTGACTATGGCTACCTAAAATGAAACCAAGACAAGAAGAGAAATTAGAACCAACCAACCTCAACCACAACAAAAACAAAAACCTGAAAATAATTTGTGTTAAAATACTGCAATTCTGGACAATTTTTCTCTCTTTAAAATGTATTTTAATATTGCTTTATTATCAATAGAATGAGACTGAGGGAACTTCAAGCTATTATTTAGCTACTGGAAAGGGAATAAAATAATAAGATTCAGTTGATCTATACAAAACTTTGTCTTCCTTTATCTAGGAAGTAGCAATATACCCATGATTCTACAATTTTCAATGGCGCTATTCTTTTAGACTAATGGGGCCAAGTTGTTTCAGAGAAATCCTGAGCATTATATGAGGTATTTCTGTGAAGTTTTTCCCTAATGGAACTTATCACATACAATATATCCACGAGGTCCTTTGTTACTAGGCCCTTTGGATACCATGAGACTGCAGCTATGTGAACCACTCCTGGTTGCAGGCCTGCCAAACTTGGCTGCTGGTGATATTAACACAACCATCTCTTTAAAGGATGAAGACTTTCTATCCTGTTTTTTTAATAGTTCAATGTTGGTATAGGGCAACTTCTGGTTTATTTATATATTTAACAACTCTTTAGTGAACATATGCTAAGCTCTTGGTGCTTGAAATTGTAAGTGTAAAAGGATACTTTGCTTAGTTGTTACTGGGAGGGCAAGCAGTAATAAAATGAAAAGCATATAATAAGATCTCAGGTAGCAGCGATAAATGCTATGAAAAATGTGTTAAAGAAATAGAAAAAAATGAACAGCAAAATACTCATCAGAGGTAATGTTTCTTATCTTGATCAAATCAGCAGCAATGACTGAATAGTGTTGAAAGTGTTAAAATCAACTTCTTAGGTTAGTTGTGTCTAATCAATGGTTTGACTTCTGTTTACACACACACAACACAAGCACACATTAATTTGACCACTATGTTTGGAATTGCTAGTTTTAATTTATAGGTTGCTTAGCTTTTTATTTGGAAATTTTTTAACCTTACAGAAGTGTTTCAGAGAAAAGAATAGTAGCCATAGTATGATACTCAAAACAAGGAAACTGATATTAATTCTATTTTTTGTTAGTGCACTCATTTATTTATTTTTAATTAATTAATTTTAAGGCATACAAACTTCATGTATTTCATATATACAAATTTAGGAATATAGTGATTCTTAAACACTATCTTAGGGTAATTGGCTGTTATCATTTCAGAAACAGGAGTTTGGGAGATTGATAGAGCAATGTTAGTTCTGTTCTCGTAACTCTTCTGTATATGTATAAAAAATTGGATAGGAGATTTAGAATTACAAATCTAAAGTGAAATAGCAGTGAAGAATTATTTGTACTAAAAACATCTATATCTGTTTTGGTGTCCTGTTCATGAGTTCTGCCAATTAGCTCATATTGTTTTGTCTGACTATCTATGCATTGTGTACCAATTTTATTTTTCTGCTAAGATTTTTACAGAGATTTATATTATTTTAGAAACTTTCAATGAAATTTCCTTACGTCTCTAATTTTCAAAGGACATACAGTTTGCTTAGCCATTAACTAAATACTTGCCCAATCCCCACTGATTTCATGGACGTCTTCATGAAAAACATTGTTCTGTTTCTCTTTTTCAAAGATCATTCTATAATTTACTTGGAAACAGTTATATTCTTTTACTGTTGACATTGATTTTGAGCACTAAGTTGTTTGGGCTTGGATAAATCAAGCAGGTAGACTAGCAAAATACACCATTGACTTCAATCTAAGCTCTCTTAGGCCAATCTGATTTTTAAAATTCATTTTTTTTTTGACAGGCAGAGTTAGACAGTGAGAGAGAGAGAGAGACAGAGAGAAAGGTCTTCCTTCTGCTGATTCACCCCCAAAATGGCCACTATGGCCGGCGCACTGCACCGATCTGAAGCAAGGAGCCAGGTGCTTCTTTCTGGTCTCCCATGCAGGTGCAGGGCCCTAGCACTTGGGCCATTCTCCACTGCCTTCCTGGGCCACAGCAGAGAGCTGGACTGGAAGAGGAGCAACCAGGACAGAATCTTGAGCCCCAATCGGGACTAGAACCCTGGGTGCCGGCGCCGCAGGCAGAGGATTAGCTTAGTAAGCTGCGGCGCTGGCCTAAAATTGATTCTTAAAAACTCTATAAGCAGGCTAAGATTTTCAGTGTACATGCAGAAAGTATTTATTAAACCAATAGCAATGCTTTTGTCTCTCTGTACATCTATTTCAGTCTAATTCCAACGACTACTCGATCTTGAACACTGGGAGTGAACAAGAGAAAGACCAAAAGATATTGATTGATACTTCAGAAGTCAGTGAAAATATTTCACAAGAAAGAAGGCTGAAAGCAAAGGAATCACAAGGAATGCAGCAAAGCGACCTCTTCAAAGCTGAATATGTCTTTATTGTGGACTCTGAAGGGGAAGATGAAGCTACAAGCAAAAAGGATGAACAAGGCCCCATGGGGGGGACTGGCAGCACGGCTGCCCGGCCCAAGACTCTGGCAATCTCCTCCAGTCTGGCTTCTGATGTAGTGCGTCCCAAAAAATGGGGCACTGATCTCAAGGCCTCATCACATCCTGAAATGTCTCATGGGCTGGGCCCTCAGCAAAGGCATGGTCAGGTAGGTATTATCTTTTTGCTGTAAACTAATTTAAGTGTTTCATATATTTTGTCCTGGGCTGTGTGCGAAGTGTTCCTGTTCAAGGCATATAAAACTCTCAAAAAGTATATTAAAAAATCAAACTCTCAAGATTATTAATCATGTAATGTAAGCATAAGTAGCAAATTCATAAAATAAAAGGGATTATGCTATTATACTCTGAATTCGTTAAAGAGTATATGTAACAATTTACAGGGAGTGGATTCGGGGAGAATATCACTTCTTGCTTTAGAACAATTCTTCAAGAAGTTTGGTTCTGGAAGTTTCCCTAGTCAAGAGAGAGTGTTTTGTTTCAAACATGGGAAAGATCCAGTCAGAAGACATCATTTGGAGATTAAACACATTGGTTTCAAACTAGTAAAACAGAGTGAAAGAATAAACTAGGAAGTAAGAGTCTATAAGGGAAAGAAGTTTTGTTTATGTGTCTTAAGGGAAATTCCTATTGTGGTGCTAGAAGCCACCAGGGTGGGGCTCACCTCAGTGAAATGGGGAGAATATCCCACCCCAGGTTCAGCTGCAAGATCAAATGGTTCATTTCAGGTGGCCTATGGGCAGCACGAAGAAGACCATGTCTGTGATGGCAGGACAGAGTCGGGTAGTTAAGGAGGTATTTTGAAGGGAAAAATAAGATTACTTTGTCATTGGCTGTTTGGCATATTGAAAATATCAGATGACTTTTGCCAGGTGTAGCTAGAATGTGAGGAAGGCAGAGGCTAGGTTTGAGAGAAGGTAGTGGATGCAGAATTCCAATTATTTGACAAGAAACATGAGTTGGTACGAAGATGTCCAGGTTCAGATCTATTCAATCAGGCATGTGCAAGTATCCCAAAATATTTGAATGACGTTTTTCTTGGTGTATTGGCTATTTTATTATACTAGGCCTTATTTAAAACAATAGAATGCACCTTTTGTTTTCAATGGCTTTCCATCTTTATTTCTATGGTCTCCTCTGAATTCTGGAGGCTGTATTTTTATTACTTTCAAGCATCAATTTTCTATTGTTACTTTTGTTACTCCTTAGTATTCACCTTTTAGGCCTACTGTACTAAACATGTGTTTCATCTTGAAGTTTCTTCTCATCTAGGTATTAGAATTAAATATTATATCCTATAATTAAATGCATTTTTAATAAACTGTGATAGACTTACACATTTATTTCTTGCCTCAGGAACGTTGATAAAATATCAATGTGGAGATAAAGAAATTCCCATTATTAAGTTTTCTATGACCTTTCAGAGGAGAGAATGTAGGTACGATAATACCAAATATAAAGAAAATGTTCTTAGTGAAGACATTTTTAGATTTTTTAATTAATTTACTCTTTTCCCCAACTCATAGATTTTTTTTTCCTCTGAATTGGTTATTTCTTTTGTTTTCGTGGGGCCAAATATACAGAGATCAAGTGAGAGGCTGAATAAATACTTGGAAACATTTTTTTTCTAAAAAGATGATTATAAAGTAGGTTATAGTTTGTTTTTCTAACCACAGATAAAAAGCCAATCCTATTTTATTAGTAGTGGGTAAAAACTATGATTACCAGTAATGGAGGAAAACTGAATTCTGAAATGCTTGGGAACTGTCATTGTACATGTTCCTATTTACTATAATTATCTATTTGTTTGATAAATAGTAGATCATTATGAAATAAAAATAAGGTAACTACAACCCACAGATATTAACTAAAGCCAGAATGATTGGCACACCAGAAGAGATAGGCTGGGAAATTTAATATAGTCAGTAGGGAAACTTTAATGGCAAAAGTCTTTAAAAATCCCATGATTAGCTACTTGATATCAACAAAGTCATTTTTTTTTTTCAGTCAGAATGGGTCAATTAAGTGAATCTCTGGCTTATCTGCTAAGTATGAATCCACTGCTGGTTAGTCCTAAAGAACATTGTTAGCTCTTAGCCTTTAACTTATCTATAACCTGGCTGGAATGTCTTTTTCTACCACATCTTGCCACTCTTTCTTGGTTCATCACCATGTACACACTCCATACTGTTCCATCATTTAGCCCTTTATTTCTCTGTGTAGAATGCTTTATTCTTCTTCAAAACTGTCTTTACTTTGACCCAGGCTACATGATACCATAAGTGTAGCTCAAGTAGCCCCTATTCTTAGAGACATTTCCTTTAAACTGGAATTGGTTTTTCTCTTCTATCCTTGTAATTTTCTTTATTCTCAATCCATTTTTTTTGAAAAATCTCCATTATAATTCCCCCACTCCATTGCAATGATTGATTTAATCATTCTTCCTCACTAGACTGAAATAACTTGAAGTCCTGATCTGTTTTTTGTTGATTTCTGCATCTCTACCACTTAGTGCAGCACCTTGAATAATATGTGTGAAAATAATAAATATTTGAAAGTCCTTATTCTGTTCACCTTCAAAATCATTACTCAGCTATTGACCTCTTCATGAAGTTTGCTTGTGTACCCTCAGTGTAAGCAAACTATTCTTCAAAATGATTCTGATAGCTTTTTTTCTCTGCCTATTTTCATAATTGTCACATCCTAGCATGTATTATAAATATGTAGGTACATGCCTCATTACCCCATCAGACTGTAAAATCTTCAAAAGTAAATCATATATTAAATTCATTTATTAAATATTTTGTTCTCTACAGTGGTTACAATGATATCTTGAACATTGCAAATATAGAGTTGAATGTATATGTGTATTTTTTAAAAAAGATTTATTTATTTTTCCATAAGGCAGAATTACAAAGAATGATCGAGAGACAGAGAGAAAGGCCCCCCTCCCCAGCCCTGCCCCACTGATTCATTCCTCAAATGGCCACAACAGCCAGGGCTGGGCTGGACTGATATCAGGAACCAGGAATTTCATCAGGATCTCCACCTTGGGTTGCAGTGGTCCATGTCCTTGTGCATCTTATTCTGCTTTCCCAGACAAATTAGCAGGGAGATGAATCAGAAGTAGAGCATCAGGGACTTGAACCAGTGCTCACATGAGATTCCTGTCACAGGTGGCTGCTTAACACATTGTGTCACAGGGGTAGGCACCTGTATATATGTCTTATATACTTTTTTTGAAGTGGCATGTTTAAGTGAAAGTATATTATGCTAAATAAAATGCCAAGTAAAATATGTCAAAAGTAAAAATACTATATAAAAAGTAGTTGAATCAAACTTATTTTAAAAATTTTTAAAGATTTATTTTATTCATTTGAAAGACAGAGTTACAGAGAGAGGTAGAGACAGAGAGAGAGAGGTCTTCCATCCACTGGTTCACTCCCCAGATGACTGCAATGGCCAGAGCTGTGCTGATCGGAAGCCAGGAGCCAGAAGCTTCTTCCGGGTCTCCCGTGTGGGTGCAGGGGCCCAAGGACTTGGGCCATCTTCTACTGCTGTCCCAGGCCATAGCAGAGAGCTGGACTGGAAGAGGAGAAACCAGGACTAGAACTGGTGCCCATATGGGATTCCGGCACTTCAGGCCAGGTCGTTAACCTGCTGCACCACAGCACCGGCTCCTTTGAATCAAACTTTTAAAAATATTATTTAGAAAAAGGAAACTTGAAGTTTGATGTGAAGGTCTAAGAATTACCTTACATAGGGCTGATATTAGAGTTAAAATCTAGGTGAATATATACATGATACAGAGTGATTTTTCTGAAGGACCTTTATAAAGGTTTATAAAGTAGTGACAGTAGGAATAAAAAGAAAACCATATAGGATGGAATTAGTTGGACTTATGAAAAAAGGAAAAATGTGGCGTATGGAAAAATTAATCATGAATGAAGTTTATAATCAAGAAAATTAGTTTAGGGGCTGGCACCGTGGCTCGCTTGGTTAATCCTCTGCCTGTGGCGCTGGCATCCCATATGGGCGTCGGGTTCTAGTCCCAGTTGCTCCTCGTCCAGTCCAGCTCTCTGCTGTGCCCCAGGAGGGCAGTGGAGGATGGCCCAGGTGCTTGGGCCCCTGCACCTGCATGGGAGACCAGGAAGAAGCACCTGGCTCCTGGCTTTGGATTGGCGCAGTGCTGACTGTAGTGGCCATTTCGGGGGTGAACCAACAGAAGGAAGACCTTTCTCTCTCTCTCTCTCTCTCTCTCTCTCTCTTTCCATAATTCTACCTGTCAAATAAAAAAAAATTAAAAAAGAAAATTAGGTTAGCATTGGCATCATTAATTATGGTCTTGGGAAGAGGTAGAAAGAGATCAGATATATAAAGTTGAGTTGGAGGATGTGTTGGTGAAACTGTGTGACGATATCTAGAAAGCAACTAGAATCAGAGACGCAAGAGAGAAATGGAGACTGGAAATACTTTCCATTGGGTTGAGGTGGTCAGAGTGGAGAATTTATTCAGGGAATGAATGTAAAACAAGGCAATGTAACTTTTAAGCAAGGAAATATCAAACTACAAAGGATCTGTGAAAAAAAGAAACCAATTCAGAAGTTTCAGAAAGAGCCAAAGAAGTTGGACATGACAGATAACAACAGATAATGGAACTTTCAACAGAAAGAGGAGACTACAGAGGAAATACAAAACAAGGTAAAATGTAGGATCCCCAGGCCCAATAAATCTGCAAGTCAGAGGTCATTTGGTCATCTTAGTGGGACTAGTGCATATGTGGTAAAGGGGACAGAAATCATGTTGAGATTGTGGAAGGGACGTGAGGGCAGGGAGGTCATGAATGAGATACAAAAATGAGATAGACAACTTCGGGCTATGCTCTTCTTGACAAGAATTTGAAATCACAAATCTTAGTTTCCTAATTAGTAAATGAAGTGATCATAGTGTCAACATTCTACTGAAGATTAATGATGTTATATATGCAAAATGCCTAGAACCATGTCTGACCCATGGCAGGCCCTTAGCAAGCGATTTCTCTATTTAAGAATTTACTGAGGGCAGTGTGCTTTTGGGCACAGAGTAGGAAATATATGTAGCAGGAGAGATTTTATGTATGTATTTATTTATTTTTAAAAATTTATATATT